AGAGGTGCTGAGACTTTGTCTTCAATGTGAGCAGAGGTGCTGAGACTTTGTCCTCAGTGTGCGAAGGACAGAAAATCTGACTGTCAGGCCTCCAGGCTGGGAAGAAGGGCACAGGGACATCACTCATTCCTGCTGCTCCCTATACTGGCCAACAAGCAGGAAACGGGGCAGGATGAATGACTACGCTGTCCTTAACATGACAGTCACAGAAGTGTAATGACAAGGAAAAATGCTGATGACACGATGTTAAACAAATACAAGAGTAACATATAAGATGGAATTAAATGTGCAAAAAAGCATGCCCTCCCACAGTGGATGAAGTAGAAGTAATTCAAATGTTATTTACTGCATTAAGGTCCTGGAATTATAGGTAATTTCCTTCCATGTGTCTTTATATTTCTCTTTATTTCCCCCAAATTTCCATTATCAGCATATAATATTTTTATAACCCAAGATAAGGCCAAATATAAAATGTTTGTTTCTTCGTTTGCAAATTGTAGGCCACATACATGATAGGGTTTATTTAAATATTTGCTACAGGGCTATCTCATTGACGTATAATAAGCCCCTCTTCACAATGGAACACCCATTGTTCAAACGACGTCAGGTCAGAGCACCCTAACACCTGCAGAAAGCGGGCCAATGTTCACTGTTAACGTGTAATGCAAGAAACTATGTTGGCCATTTTTTTTTTTAAATGTGAGGTTTCAAGAATCTCAATGCTATATATAACACAGAAAAGGATTAAATAGTTCAACTTACTACTGGATCTTGGCCTAATCATAGTCCAGCAGAAACATATCTGGTCACATTGCTGATAAAAGTTTACTGCTAAAAGCTGGCAGTATTTTCCTGTATAAGATGTATTTCTCTTTTTTAAAAAAAGAACTATCTGACAAGTAGCTATCGCAGACGGAAATTGAAGCTAACACATTTTTTCCTCTGGTATCTTGATGGAATTGGTTTTTAGCCCACATACTCAAGTACCAATATATTTTTCTCCTCGTATTCAAAAGGAACATTTTGACAAAGGATAAAAATCTAGAAATGTAAACATTATACTTGCCAAGAGTCAAAAACAAAATATGCTACCTTCTACTTTGGGTAGTACTAGATCAGAAATGGGCTGAAAATCTTGGGACAAATCAAATTTTTTTGTTTATAAAGTTCAAGAAACACTCTTCAAATGCCTTTCCTTGCCCAGGCATATTATAAAAGCCTAATCGAATAACAGAAGATAACAGTATGGATGTCCTAATTAAAATATCTGAAATAGCACTTTCATTTATAGTAATCCGATATGAGTTTTTATTTTTATTTTAATATATTTATTTTGAGACAGAGTCTCACTCTTGTTGCCCAGGCTAGAGTACAGTGGTGTATACCTGGCTCACTGCAACCTCCGCCTCCTGTGTTGAAGCAATTCTCCTGCCTCAGCCTCTGGAGTAGCTGGGATAGAGGTATCTGCCACCATGCCCAGCTAATATATATATATATATTTTTTTGTGGTATTTTTAAAAGTAGAGAAGGGGTTTCACCATGTTAGCCTGGCTGGTCTTGAACTCCTGACCTCAAGTGATCTGCCTGCCTCAGTCTCCCAAAGTGCTGGGATTACAGGCCTGAGCCACCACCCCCCAGCCAGTATTTGAGTTTTTAAATCTTCGACCCTAGCTAATACATATAACTACAAAATATGCGTTTTAAGTGTTAAGCAACAGTAAAACAAATCTTGCTTAATAGCATCTACTGTGTCTTATAAGATAAGACATTCAGAAGGAAATAACAGCTTAAGTCAATTTAAAGAAAAATTGTTAAGAGCAGCCTCCTGCCACAGATATTCTCCTACAAGGCAACAAAAATGACACAAGAACAAGAAACAAAAACTCTTAATTGCAACAAAATACTCAGAAAGCAACTGCCCTAATGTGTGGGCATTTACCCAAGGATGCTTTCCAACAAGAATTACACAGAGACGATAACGACTTCTATTTAAGATGCTGCAAAACTCTGTCTCTAAATAAATAAATAAATAAATAAATAAATAAATAAATAAATACATTCTGACTTTTATGCTATGTAAATCCAAGACAGCTTAGAAATCAAAGTAAGGCCTTTTTTCGTTTCTTAAATAACATCACTAGTAATAACAAATAAAGGCATAGATTTAACTTCTCAAGCATAAAACAGCAAAAAACCCACAAAGATTTAAACACCTGGAGAGTTGCTAAAATGCATATGGTAGTCACAAATCTCTGTTGAGTTTCCACCCATTCTTTCTTTTAAGAAACATTTCGGCAGGGTGAGGTGGCTCACACCTGTAATGCCAGCATTTTCGGAGGCCGAGGCAGATGGATCACTTGAGGTCAGGAGTTCGAGATCAGCCTGGCCATTATGGCGAAACCCCTGTCTCTACTAAAAATACAAAAATTAGCCAGGCATGGTGGCATGCACATGTAATCCTAGCTACTGGGGAGGCTGAGGCAGAAGAATCGCTTGAACCCAGGAGGTAAAGGGTGCAGTGAGCCAAGTTCATGCTACTGCACTCCAGCCTGGGCAACAGAACAAGACTCCATCTCAAAAAAAAATAAAAAGAAAAAAGGAAATATTTATCAGGCCTGGAGGAGTGGCTCATGCCTATAATCCCAACACTTCCAAGGCAGGAAGACTGCTTGAGGCCAGGAGCTCAAGACTCTCTCTGCAAAAAATTATTTGGGCATGGCAGTATGTGCCTGTGATCCCAGATACTTGGGAGGCTGAGGTAAGAGGATCGTTTAAGCCCAGGAGTTGGAGGCTGTAATGAGCTATAACGGTGCCACTGTGTTACAGCTTTGGTGACAGAGCAAGACCCAGTCTCCAAGAAAAATATGGAAACATTTATGAAATACTGTGCTGTGCCTGACATTGTGCAGAATTCAGACATAAGTAAGGAATACAGATCAGGAGAGAGCAGCTAAGACAAACCAGAAGAAAAACAGTGTTTTTTAGCAGATATAAAACTTAGAGAGGGAGAAAGGTGCAGCTAATTGTAATAAGAAAAGACTTTGCAGTAAAGGTAATAACAAAACTGGGTCTAGGAGGTACACAGAATTTCTACAAGTCAAACAAGGGAAAGAAAGGACACTCCTTCCCAAGTCTGGGGAGACAGTAATCAAATCAAAGACTCAGAAAGGAGAAGGTAGTAGCCAGGTGTGCGGAAGTGGCACGGAAGCAGGGAAGCACGGCCTCTCTGTGGAATACGGTGAAAAAGGAGCCAGGAAATGCACACTGGGGCCAGACAGCCAGGGGTTAGGGATGTCAAAGCAAGCGCTGGGCACCGGAGAGAAGGGAAGTTTTCTGGGACAGTGACTCCCCTATCTGGCTGCATACCTAATGACACCTGGGATGTCTAACAAGCAGATTCTCAGATGCCATGAGGACCAGAAAACTATCATTTTTTTTTAAGCTCCTGGGGTGATTCTCATTATCAGTCAGATGTCAGGAGTGCACAAAGAATGCTTAGAAAAGTGACAGAAAGGAAGCAAGGAAGGAAGGAGGACTGATGCAAGAGCAGAGGCAGGAGGTTACTTTAGATGAAAAAGAAATGGAAGGTAAGCTTGCCATGTGAAAACACACAAGAAGAGCCAAATGTCTGCAGAAAAAGATACTCAATGTGAACATTCTGAGGCTATTGATGGCTTAGGAAATTTGGTTCTAGAAATTCACGAAAATTACCTTCATATTTAAACATATACTATTTGCAGGCTTTTTTTTTTTTTGAGATGGAGCCTCACTCTGTTGCCCAGGCTGGAGTGCAGTGGAGCAATCTCGGCTCACTACAACCTCTGCCTCCCAGGCTCCAGCAATCTTCCCACCTTAGCCTCGTGAGTAGCTGGGACCACAGGTATGTGTCGCCACGCATGGCTTTTGTGTGCGTGTGTGTGTGTGTGTGTGTGTATTTTTTTGGTAGACAGAAGGGATGGGTATGTGTGTGTGTGTGTGTGTGTATTTTTTTTGGTAGACACAGGGTTTTGCCAGTAGCTGGGACCAGAGGTAGGTGCCACCACGCATGGCTAGTGTGTGTGTGTGTGTGTGTGTGTGTGTGTGTGTGTGTGTGTGTGTATTTTTTTTGGTAGACACAGGGTTTTGCCATGTTGCCCGGCTGGTCTCAAACTCCTGACCTCAAGTGGTCTACCCATCTTGGCCTCCCAAAGTGCTGGGATTACAGGTGTGAGCCTCAGATTACACGAGCCTGTAGACGCCTATTTTAAGATGGCTGTGCACAGTCTGCCCTCCATATCTGTGGGTTCCATTTCCACACATTCAACCAACAACAGACGAAAAATATTTGGAAAAAATAAAACAATTAAAAATCACACAACTATTTAAAATGCAGTGTAACAACTACTTACATGGTATTTACAATATACTATATATTATAAGCAATCTAGAGATGATATAAAGTATATAGGAGGATATGTGTAGGTTATTTGCAAATACTGTGCCATTTTATTTTGTTTTTATTTTCTATTTGTTTTTTTGAAACAGAGTCTCACTCTGTCACCCAGGCTGGTGTACAGAGGCATGATCTTGACTCACTGCAGCTTCCACCTCCCAGGTTCAAGTGATTCTCCTGTCTCAGCCTCCCGAGTAGCTGAGATTACAGGCACGTGCCATGACAACCAGCTAATCTTTGGTATTTTTAGTAGAAATGGGGTTTGACCATGTTGCGTCAGGCTGGTCTTGAACTCCTGACTTAAAGGCAAATGATATATGTTAAGCATTGTGCTACAAACTTAAGAGGAACTCAATAAATATTTATCAAATAGTAAATATTCAAAGTTCCTTGAAGAAGGAAGTCTTTAAAAAGTTGAAAGTTGTATTTCACTTTTTTTTTATTTTAAAGAGAAAAGAAGAGAAAGTACCTCAGTTCTTTTCTTTCATCTTTCCTTCTTTCATTCTTTTTCTTTTAACTTCAGTACACACCTGAGGGTTATTTATTTTTAAGACATCATAATTCTTACCTTCGCTGCCAAGGCTTTTAAACTGTCAAGGAATCTCTGCCAGAAATCCTTGAAGAGTGGGCGGTCGATTTTCTTCAGACTCTCTTTGGTGCTGGCATCCACACTGACATACAGCTGAGTAACTGGCTTCAGGTTCCTTAGTAAATTAAAAAAAAAAAAAAAAAGAAAGAAAGAAAGAAAGAAAGAAAACATATTCCTCTATCAGGCTTTCCATAATGTAAAACTTGCAATCTATAATAGATATAGGGATTAAACATTTCACTGGGTCTAGGCACTTCCACTTCTCCCCAACAGACTGAACTAATGATTTTAATAATATGACAAAATGGGATGGCCTCTGGTTATTATTATTATTTTTTTGAGACAGAGTTTCTCCACGTTGGTCAGCCTGGTTTTGAACTCCCAACCTCAGGTGATCTGCCTACCTCAGCCTCCCAAAGTGACTGGGATTATAGGCCTGAGCCACTGCGCCCAGCCAGCCTCTGGTTATTTTTTAAATGACTGGAAACAATCCCTAATACACTGAAAACAATGAATTACTTAAAATTCAATGTAAGAATAAAGTATGATCTAAGTTCAGGTCTGACAACACCAGCCCAGCACAATTAGAGGGGCTCTCTGATCTCACTTTCCCACCCACATATTCTGCCAACCACATGGGGTCTGCACGGCTAGGCCACCTCCCTCCATCCATTCACTGATAGAAATCCTCTAAGGGGCAAGAAGGAATCCCAAAAGCTCAGGCCTTACTCGAAGGACACAGAGTCACGCCTATGCTTCCAAGAGTGGGAATGGGTTTCATGTCACCCCTTGGGTGGCAAACAATGACCCATTTGGGGAACTCTAAGCAGTGCGGACCTAAAACAGCAGCAACCTCGTAATCACACAGAAGAAAAAAAACGCAGTTTCCATCAACACCACTCACTCTCCACTTCTCTCAAATTCAAATTCACTGCTTCATTTCATGACTTCATTCCTACCTACTAGATTTCGAGGAGGTCCTTCTAGTAGGTCTTTCCCCAGCCCCAAGCCCCAGACAGGGTCTCATTCTCACCAGGCTGCAGAGCAGCGGCGCAATCACAGCTCACTGCAGTCTCAACCTCCCCGGCTCAAGCGACCCTCCTATCTCAGTGTCTCAATGGGATCACACGCATGTGCCACCATATCTGGCTAATTTTTTAAATTTTTCTGTAGAGAAAGGGGCCCCACTATGTTACCCAGGCTGGTCTGGAACTCCTGGGCTCAGGTGATCCACCTACCTCAGCCTCCCAAAGTGCTGGAATTAGCAGTGTGAGCCACTGTGCCCGACCCTACTAGATTTCTTTTTTTTTTTTTTTTTTTTTTTTTTTTTTTTTTTGAGCCGGAGTTTCGCTCTTGTTACCCAGGCTGGAGTGCAATGGCGCGATCTTGGCTCACCGCAACCTCCGCCTCCTGGGTTCAGGCAATTCTCCTGCCTCTGCCTCCTGAGTAGCTGGGATTACAGGCACGCGCCACCATGCCCAGCTAATTTTTTGTATTTTTAGTAGAGACGGGGTTTCACCATGTTGACCAGGTTGGTCTCGATCTCTCGACCTTGTGATCCACCCACCTCGGCCTCCCAAAGTGCTGGGATTACAGGCTTGAGCCACCGCGCCCGGCCGTAGATTTCTCTCAAGTTATACATTAAACCTAGACTGCACTTTTTCTTTTTTGAGGCGGGGTCCCACTCTGTCACCCAGGCTGGAGTACAGTGGAGTGATCTCGGCTCACTGAAACCTCCCAGGTTTCAAGACTCTCCTGCCTCAGCCTCTTGAGTAGCTGGGATTACAGACGGGCCCCACCATGCCGGGCTAATTTTGTATTTTTAGTAGAGACGGAGTTTCACCATGTTACCCAGGCTGGTCTCAAACTCCTGACCTCAAGTGATCCGCCCGCTTTGGCCTCCCAAAGTGCTGGGATTACAGGTGTGAGCCACTGTGCCCAGCCTAGACTATACTGTTTCTAAAGCCTCTCCCCTTCTCCCTTCAAATGGTTCTCCTAATTCATTCTCTTCAGTAAATTTAGAACTAGAAGAAAGAAATGCCCCCTTAATAATCCTCTGATCAAATTCTCCCAATATTCTTTTTCTGTAACGATTCCACAATTTATTCCAGATTGCCCCCTAGAAATGTATGCATTTTTTCTTTCAAAGTCCATGCATTTTTTAAAAATGAAGATACTGTTCGCATGCCATATAATTCACCACTTTAAGATGGTTTCTGTGCTTTATATATGTATCAGCAGCAGCCTTATCAATCTTTGAGTGTAAGATCTTGAAGAGCAAAAATCCTATTTTTCTTTTTATCCAGCCACACAGGCAGACACTAAAGCTACTTTTTAGGAGATATTGTCAGTTTCGGCAGACAAAATTTTTAAGGGAATATAGGCCAAACAGATGCTTGCAATGATGTGGCTTAGTGCCACGTAGAAAAGTCAGAAGTGTCTATACTTCTATTCACTTTCACTAAAAGTGGAGAGGCTCTGACCAAATGTGGGAAAGCAGTGATGAAGACACTGGCAGGCTCTCGTGCTCTGACGCCCCCGCAGCACCGATGTACTAAGGGAATCCTTCAAAGTTCAGGTAACGGGTCACGCCTGAGCAAAGCACATTATTACTGGAAATGTAAAACAAAAGCATCAGTAAAAACGGCATTCTGTCTCATCACTCCTTTGCTGGGCACCTCTTTAATAAAAGACAAGCTATGCTTCCTTAACTGGATTTTTCTTTTACCAAAAAAAAAAAAAAAAAAAAAGACGACTATCTTAATGGTTACTACTGGGTATCATCATCTGACTAAACAGGACTTTGTCAAAAGCTTCCTGATGTCAAATGAGAAGTGCCCTGACTTTTTCTATGCTTCCATAACTGCTTAAGACTATGAACAGTACATTCCAAAGGCCACACTTCTTTTATAAACCTCTGTCATTTACAAAATCGGAAGCCCTGGACACTGGCACTGCCAGGAAGGAACTGCAGTCAATACTAGACGTCTGAGATGCTACTCCAAAGGAAGTCCAGAGCTCTTCTGCCAAGGAGCAGAGGCAGAATGGAGAAGAGGAAAAGGTCCCTAGAATTCCAGAGCTCATGGTGAAGAGCTCAAAATTAGCAAAGAGACCTTCGGGGATATTTGCCGAGCTTTAGGGACCTTATTTCTGTCTAGCACTGGTCTCTATTCACCCAGAAAAGACAATGAGGGTCGCAGGAGGATCACTCACCTGTCTCTTTTCTACACGGAGATAACAAATGTTCCCCAAAAGCAAAAGAGTCTTACATCGTCAAAATCATCATAATTCTTCCTGTATTGGAGGATCTCACGGCACTGCTGGGAGTCATTACAAAGGATATCCTCCGCTCCCCAGAAACAGAGACAGTATTTAGGACAGACAGCATTAAGCCCAATCATCTGTAAAAATGCCTAAGGATTCTTGACGTGAGTATTGTAAGGACCCTTGGTCTTAATTTTAAATCTCTGAGTCAAGCATTATCATATATAAAAATGTGCCGAAGAACATAAAACCCCGTCCCCCTGTTGCCTTTCTGTAGAGACCATCAGGCCTTGTTCTATCTCCTGAACCTTGGAAGGTAGACTGAGGCCTGACAATATCTGCAGAAAGAAAAAAAAAAGAAGAGACATTTACGTTTGTTAGAAATCCAAGTAAATAGTGGCTTTGAAGCTCTTCCTTGGGATAAAAAAAATAACCAGAGTGACCCAAACATCCAGTGACATTAAAATCTAAATCTCTAAGACAATCTGGGGCTTTCAGAGCAAGCCAAATAGCTCAGGAGGAAGTGAGGAGGAGAGTGAATGAGGAGGAAAGAATTATTTACCACTCACGGAGCCGGGCACACTCTGCTGTGTGCTTTACTCATCAGTTTAGTTCACTGAATCATCACAATAACCATGCAGTTGCTACTTAGGCCCATTTTAAAGATGATGAAGCTGAGGTTCAAGAGGCTAAGTAATGTTGCTAGGATCTATAAATAATAAGCATCAGGGCAGGCACGGTGGCTCACACCTGTAATCCCCAGCACTGGGAGAGGCTGAGGCAGGCGGATCATCTGAGGTCAGGAGTTCGAGACCAGCCTGGCCAACATGGTGAAACCTTGTCTTTACTAAAAATACAAAAATCAGCCGGGCATGATGGCGGGCGCCTGTAATTCCAGCTACTCAAAAGGCTGAGGCACAAGAATCGCTTGAACCCGGGAGGCAGAGGTTGAAGTGAGCTGAGATCACACCACTACAGTCCAGTCTGGGCAACAAAGTGAGACTCTATCTGAAACGAAGGGAGGAAGGAGGGAGGGAAGGAAGTGGGGAGGGAAGGGGGGGAAAGGAGGGAGGGAGGGGGGAGGGAGGAAGGAAGGAAGGAAGGAAGGAAGGAAGGAAGGAAGGAAGGAAGGAAGGAAGAAGGGAGGGAGGGAGGGAGGGAGGGAGGGAGGGAGGGAAGAAGTGAGGGAGAAAGGGAGAAAAAAAGAAAAAGAGTAAGCGTCAAGGACATTCAAGCCCAGAGATGACTCCAGAGCCTTTCTCCTAACCCTGCGCCATGATGGCAAAACCCACAGTATGGCTGTGTTCAAGTCACAGCAGTTACATGTAACAAACAGTATTCCATTCAATGAAAAATCCAAGAGAAGACGGACGATCCGTGACATGCAGATTCTGACTGCAAAGCCCTAAGAGAAGCCAAAACAACGAATGCTCAGGAAGAAATTCTGAGAATTCCTTTCACACATGGGCTTATCGGCTTCACTCAACAGTCATGCAGGGGCTGCTGTGAACTGGACACTGGGTCCGAGAGGCTCAGCCCTCAACACTTCCACTCCGGAGGGAACAGAAGCTGGGTGAGAGTCTCACCACAGGCTCAGTGTCGTGACTCAGGTGGGGAAAATGCCAAGGGAATAAATGGAGCACTGAGCTGGTCTTGCGCGGCAAAATCGTGGAAAAGATGTAACAAGGTCAAAGTCAAAGCTGATCTCGGAAGGACACAGAGGTCATTAGGAAGATAATGAGATCACTTCCAGGGATGTCCAAAGCGGAAGAGCCAAGGCCTGCCGCTGTGAGCTGCGGCAGGATAAAGGAATCACGAGCTACCCCCCACGGCTCTAACATGATGAATGGA